TGGTGAAAATTTCATGTCATTAGCACCTCTAGTAATATATTTACTGAGAAAAATGGTGACGTGTTCAATACTTATTTTACCCGCTGTAGCTGTTTTATTTGTTTGCTAATGTTGGTTAGTTGTGGCGGCCATCTTTATGGTGTTTTTTTGTGTTACCTCAATATTTTCAGGATTGTTGCTGAACCAGAAAAGGGCAGCAGTGGAACAAAGATGACACCCATTTTTGAGATTTGTGGAGCTTTATTTTTTAATGAAATTGGCTTTAAATATAAGATATTCAGTCTGTGCTCGCCAAAAAGCACGTCGCATCACTGAACTGCATTTAAAAATAATATTTAGTTCAGTAGGACACAGCCCTTGCAAGAATTAGTCTGGTTTGGCAATTCTTCAGAACTTCTACATGAGAACACAAATATTTTGTCAGGTGAGGTAAAAGTAGTTTCAGAACACAAAATTATTGCAAAACGTATTGTTTTGAAATGCAAAACTATTGTGAGGAAATGTTAAAGTATTGTAAGGTAGCTTAAAAGTATTGTGTGGGAACTTAAAAGTACTGTGGGAATGCAAAAAAAAAATTGTGTGGTTATGCAAAAGTTATGTGATATAAAGTATTGTATGGGACTGCAATTTGTTATGATTTAACACAAAAGTATTTTGTGGGAAGGTAAAAGAACTGTGTGGGAATGCAACATATTGCGAGATAACACAACAGTATTGCAAAGTAATGCAAAATGATTTTGTGGGAACTAAGTGTTGCGATGTAACACAAAATAAAAGAAATCGTCCCTTAATGTCACGTCAGCAGCACCATAGATCTTGATTTGTACTGACAGAGTTAATCTGATGTGGATTAACTACGAGAACACTAACAACAATGTTACACTTTGAAAAAAGATGTGCTAAGGTTGATTAAAAACCGTTGCTAACATTAGCTACATCAACTGTGTCAGACGCACAATTTAAAGTGCCTGTGACATGAAACTTTTGGAGTAAATATAAATGCATTATTGGAAGGATAACATTAATAACATATCGCAAAAATTAATTCCCGCTGCTGTGATGAACAGTTATTGAGATATTTGAATGTGAAACAACAGGAAGTGACATCTGCTTGTGAACAGAGCGTTGATAAAATGGTTAACGACACAGACTGTAGAGAAGAATTTGATGTTTCTTTAGATTATTTTGAGTCATCAGAGAGATGAAGACGAGTCGGAGTTCACATAATGTTTTAATAAACAAAGACCAGGGAGTTTTCTTACCTAGAGTTCCCCTTTGACGTCACTTCCTGTTTCACTTTGGCTGAGCCAAGTTTAAGAGACAGTATGCCAGTTATGTGACAAAATATGTAAAATCACATGTATAATGCAAGGTTTCTAAAATAAAAAGGTGTTTTGCTTTTTGTATTTGATGGATAGGCATGTCACAGGCACTTTTAAATTCTAAAGAAAAAGAATCCCTAAAGCAGGGCTATTCAACTAAATCTCTCCAGAGGCCACAGTTACTGCAGGTCAACAGCTGAGGGGCCGAACATCCAGCAATTAAAATAAACCAAGTATTACAAAAATATTATATATAGTTACCTTTGAATTAGTTTATTTTGCTGTATTTAATCATGAATACAACATACAGAACCCTATAAAAGTAGTGATAATCAAACATTATAAAAAAAAGCACATTCTGCCTCCTATTTGACACAAATAATATTTTGACATCTCTGACTTGCCAAATTTTTAAACCAATTTTATTTTTACTTTTATCATTTTATCTTCAACTACTTGTAGTTTTAACTGCCTTGAGTGTTTATAGAAATGGTTTTTACCAGCTTCTAGCCAAGTTTCCGACGTTTCTGTAGATACCAAACATGTCTATGTTTAACTAAAAGAACTTGGAGTAATTAAAGTAAAAAACTGGGAGTTTGGGCTTAAGAGATGAATGAAACAATTGGCGGGCCGAACTTTGGTCACTCGGGGCCGGATGTGGCCCGCGGGCCGCCAGTTGAATAGCCCTGCCTTAAAGGGCAACAGTTTTACCTTTTTGCTTATTTTAGACCTTTTTTAATTCTGCTACTAGAGTGTTGTTGTTTATAAAACCCATGAAGAAAAGTTCAGAAAGAAAACCAACAGGCTAACAGTTAGCATAGCTTAGCCAAAAATTTAATCCCATTACTGGAGCTGACTTTTCTTTTTTTACTTCTTGTTCATTGGTAATAAATATGTTCACATTCACTTGTCTTTTAATGTTTTCTGCTGATTTTAAAGTCTCTTTGTACCTTTCTAACGCGCTCAGAGTGAATGTTTTCTCTTTATTTCTCATCTCGTCAGATTTAACAAAGTTTTCATTCCTCTGAGATCAAACCAGACTTTTTCATCTCTCTGCCTCCCTCTCAGTGTGATTGTCTCTTTGTTTGTCTTCTTCCCGCAGCACGACAGCCAGTGGAGTCCCTCTCCCTGCTCCGAGTGCGTTTGCTCCAGAGGGGGCGTGTCCTGCAGCGCTCACACCTGTCCCCAGCCCACCTGCTCCCAGGATCAGACCCTGTTCGTCCCCGCGGGGGACTGCTGCCCCAAGTGTGCTGGAGGGGGAGGTGAGGGACGAAATAATTCCACAAACTCCGTTTGGTGGAGTTTTATTATTTTATTTAGTTTTTTAAATAAAAACAAACCGACACATGAAAAACATGAACATAATTTAAAGTTTTAAGCTCTAAATCAGGGGTGGGCCGTCCTGGTCCTGGAGGGCCACAGCCCTGCTTGTTTTACTTGTTTCTCTGCTCCAACACACCTGATATGATTGGATGATTATCAGGTTTCTGCAGTATGGAGGACCGAAACTGACATAATTAGAAATAAAAGCAGAATTATATAAAGGAACCACTAAATAAATACATTAAAAATGCACCAATTAAAATAACAAAGGAGAACTTTATCTCATGTTTTTTGTTTGAAATGACTTGAATATTTATTTTTCCAGGTAAGTATAAATGAGTCTATATATTTTAACACATAATTTAAATTTTACTGTTTTATAACATACATATTTTGTTGTTTTTCCTTTAAATTCTACATGCATTCGTGTCTTAAATATTTATACTTAATTATTTTTATATTTTTCCCACAAGTCTTTAAATTTTAGTTTAAAACCAAGGCAAGGAGAAAAACTTACCCGTACCTTTGTTTTTAACTAAACTTTAAGCTAAACTGAGGCAGCACACGCCTGCAACACATCGAAATAAAAAAAAACTTGTGGGACAAAACTATAAAAATATTTCATTTTAAACATTTAAGAGACAAATGTATGAACAAGTAAAAAGTAAAACTGAAAAACATATATTTTAAAAAACAGTCAAATTTGATTTGTGTTAAAAAATATCAATTAAACGAGAATTAAATTACAAAACATGAGGTGAAGTTCTTTTTTAATTGAATTGGTGCATTTTAAGTGTATTTATTTATTTAGTGGTTTATTTATATATTTCTGCTTTTATTTATAATTATGTCAGTTTTGGTCCTCCGTACTGCAGAACTAAGAGGGTAAATCAGTGACTGAATCAGGTGTGTTGGAGCAGGACAAACGTAAAACATGTAGGGCTGCGGCCCTCCAGGACCAGGATTGCCCACCTCTGATCTAAATTAAGAGTTTGGGAGGAAATCAGATCCGAAGAAAACCCACAGCTGCACAGGGAGCACATGAAACTCGTAGTTTGTTAAAATTTGGTGATTTAGGGTTTGAAAACTTAGATTTTACTGATTAAATGGATGTCATCAGAAATACTAGATTTATTTCAAAAGGAGGAATTCAAGCTTTTGATATTCGGCATTATACGGAGGGATTTACAGCAGCCAGCAGAGATTAACGATAAATTAAAAATGAAATTAAAAGGATTATTTCTGAAATTATTCTTGTTAGAAAACTTCACTTCAAAGGTAGATTAGAATTAGCTGAGCGTCGTTAACCAAACAAATCTGTGTGACGTATCGTTGGTGTAAATTATGAATTTTAGAGACTTTCTTCCCGTGAAAAAAATCACCGGCAACGATGTTTTTAAAACTCACAGAGCAGCAGCGTCAAATCTAAAGGTTAATATTTGATTTAATGACGTCGTGGAGCGGCTGTAAGACATCCCAGCAGCTAATTATTAAACATTTTTCCTGAATGTCTTGGCAGACGATGCTTGAAGAGCCGGCTCATTACCCGCCGTTTGTCTTCTTTGTTCACTCACTGGGTTTTTATTGTCAGAGTCGTGCGCCTGGCAGGGCCTGGTCTACAGGGACGGCGAGGAGTGGGAGCCCAGCTTGTGTTCCAGATGCTCCTGCAGCGGCGGGAGGGTCCGGTGTTCAGTGGTCGAGTGTCAGCAGGTGGTCTGCAAACCGGTGAGTTCCACGGATTCATCTTATTTCCCCCCGACGCTCCCTGCTCATAAATCTGCGTTCAGGTGGATAAAAAAACGAGATTAGATGACCTAATCCAGGGGCGGTTCTAGGGGCGGGGCCACAAGGGCACCGGCCCCAGCTGAAATCTGATTGGCCCCCTGTCCTGTCACTCATCTGTCCTTTACATGGGCGTGATGATGGTGGATGCAGTTCCATGTTCAAACACTAGAGGTGCTAATGAGTCAAATAGTAAAGTCCAAAATGAATCAAGCTGACAGAGTTCTTCTTCTCTTCTTAAGAAAATTTGAAAAAAAAAAAACTGCAAAAAATGTCTTTCAACTGACAAATGATGACTGGATTTTCTTACATGTTGTGTGTTTGAGAATATTTTATCCATGTGCTAAAATGTATGAAAACTGGTGAGGAGACTTTACTGTGCAAACTTTTTTTTTACAATAAGGCTCCCCTTATTAATTTATCTGTAAACACTTTATAAATCTTTAATAAATGTTTATTATGCATTAATTAAGGTAAAAAAGGAGACTAAAACTAAAAACGAGACCGGTTTCTTTCCAAATTAAAAATTTCAGACTAGTTTACTACCTTGTAAGCACAATAATGATTAGGAAACACATATTTTAACATGTAATATTGTACTGCATTACTGCATTATAAATATCCACAAATATTAAAAGGATCCTTATCGTAAAGTGTAAAACTGTACACTATTTTGGATGGGGTGGGATTATTTGGTATGTTAACATGATGGTTTTTTTTTAACTTTTCTACATCAACATTGTCGACAGTAGTTACATGTTTGAACAATAATTTCAAATATTGATAATCAACACAAAGTTTTAAAAATTATGATTTTTCAATTAAAGACTAACTTTTGGCCTTTTATAAATGTTTATTTGTCATTAATAAATAGTGTACTGTATTACACTTTACGATAAGTCTCACTTTAACTGTTGTGAATATTTATAATGCAGTAATACAGTACAATATTAATAAAATAAAATATGTGTTTCTTATCGTTATTGTGCTTACAATGTAGTAACCTAGTGTGAAATGTTTAATAAGCACCTTTAGATGTAATATGTACGTGAACAGATTTGTTCAAGTTCAAGTTTATTTATATAGCTCCAAGTCACAACATATGTTGTCTCAGAGCACTGTACATAAGAATGATCTAAAGAAGAAAGCAGCAGATTGTGTTGAATCACTTCATCACAGTCTCCCATCATGAGCAAACGGTGGAGAGGAAAAACTCCCTGCTAATCAGGAAGAAACCTCCAGCAGAACCAGGCTCAGGACAGGAGACCATCTGCCTCGACCGGCTGGTTGGAGGACAGGAAAGAGACACAGACAAACACAGAAGAACTGGTCCAGGACTGGTCCAGGTGCATCTTCTTCTGGAAGAGACGAGAAAAAAAAGAAAGAAAAAAAGAAAAAAAAACATGATAGAAATAATTACAAAAAACATGTGGAGAACAGAGACTAAAGACAACAGATTTGTCTCATTATTTGGTGGACAGTTTTGCCTTTCTTGTCCTTAAATACTGCATAATAAACATTTATTAAAGATTTATAAAGTGTTTACAGATGAATTAATAACCTGTCTATAAAGTCTTTATAAACTATCTACAAGGGGAACCTTATTGTAAAGTGGTACCTTTTTAAAAATATATCTATATATTACATTACAAGTGTCTGAATATGCGACTGGTTAAATGTAAACATCTTACCAAAACTGTGGATTTGTGTGACAGGATGTTGAACAAAGATTTGGCCCCTCTATGAATATTGTGGCCCCTTACTCAGAAAAATCCTAGCTCCACCACTGACCTAATCTGACAGGATTATTTGTTTGTCCTCAGCATGAGAACCTGGTGATCCAGCCGGGACGCTGCTGTCCTCAGTGTGTGTCCAACCCCTGTCTGTCTGCTGGACATCAGCACCAGGTAGGATGGACTGGACCGTCCTCTGGCTGCAGTGCACTCTCCGGACTCTCCGGTCCCTCTCTGTTTCCTCCGTTGATCTGCTCTGGTTAATCAGTGTGCATTGCCAATGCAATGCACACTATAGTGATTCGTTTCCCATCCAAGTCATCTCAACTTTGCCATGCTTCTCCTCCTGCATACTTTGTCCTAGAGCTGCCATTGTAATTTATACCTGCAAAGCTCCTGTGCCCAATGATGGCCATGCCTTTTGGTGCCTGTACAACATATAGTTTTTGAAATATTAATGTTTAATAATTTATAATCGGTGTCAATGGAACCTTATATTGGTTCAATACTGCCCCCTGCTGTATCTACTCAGTACTGAAACATAGTTTAATAATATTTAATCACAATATTTCAGTGGTTGCAATACTAAGCTGACTCTATTTTGATGTTTGACTTTTATATTGTCCTAATATTGCTCTATTGCTGTGATATATTGAAGTTTAGTGTCAACAATTGCATTGGCAATGTGGCCTCTTTCAGCACACATACAAACCAACTCCTGGCGATCTTCTCTGCCACAGCTCCAATGGCTAATGGTTAATGCCGTGGACTTTTATGTGGGAGATCAGGGTTCAAAACCCACCAACAGCAATTTTAACTAAAATTCTCTTTAAACTTCATATTGTCACACAATTACCATCATCACAAACACCTGCTGACTTGACAAGCACAAGTTGGTAGAAAACACATTTGAACTTGGTCACATTTCATTCTGCAAGTCCAATGCTGCAGGCAAAGCCATGCTGCAATGACATGCTACAAGCCAATGCACACTTGTTTTTACATCGTAAAAACCCATGTCTAGTGCCTGTTTGGATCCTCTCAGGAAGCTCTCACATGGATGATGCACCGTGTTTGACCGTCTTCAAAGACTGAAACTCCTTTCACGTTAAACGAACCTCACGTTTCCCGTCCTCCTCTTGATCCGTTTGTTCGGGTGAAGCTGTTTGAATTTTAACCCTCTGTGAACGATTCTGTAGATTATTATAAATTACCCAGATAAAAAAAGATGTTCAAAGAGCTTTACAGAGAGCTTTCCAGGGTCTTTAAATAATGAATCATTTGCATTCTCCAGGGTTAAAGTCAATATTTAATTCAACCATTTAGTCAGAGAGAGATGTGGAAGTTCAGATTAAATCTGACATCAGCGTGAAGTTGACCTCATATTTTCCCAGATTATACATTCAAGACTTGAAATTTGTAGGCAGATGAAAACAAGAACACAGGAAGTGAGACATTTAGATTGTCTAAAGGTGAATATGTTCCAAAGCAGAAATAAAAACACAAACACCTCACATGTTTGGCTTTTTTTACAGTTTAAAGATTGTTTCCTCAAGAAGTTTAGGCTAAAACTGCGCAGTCTTCTGTTGTTTGTTGTAGGCCTCAGTGTCTCAGTGGTTGGTGCTGTGGTCTCTATATACGAAAGGCTAGGGCTTGGCGGTAATACAATAACGACATATATTGCGATAAAATTATGATCAATATCAATAGAAAACAATATCTATATCTATATATCTACATATCTATATCTATACCTATATATACTGTATCTATATCTATATTAATATATCTATATATATATAGATATTGCGATAGATACGTTATCAATATTAATAGAAATTGATGATATATATCACGATAGACAAAAGATCAATATCAAAGGGAAACTATAAAGATATATATATATAGCCATAGACACTTGATTAATATATTTAGAAAACAATAAACATTTATCTAATGAATTCATTGCGTTCATACCACTGATGAATCTTAAAAAACTTTTCTTTATTAGAAACACGTCATGTATAGTGTCTAATAACAAAGAAACTATATTTAAGATAATAAATATAGCAATAGCAATAGAAAACAAATGCGATATGTATCACAATAGACACTTTGTTAATATGAATAAAAATTAAAAACTGAATATGTATCGCAATAGACACGTAATCAATATTAATAGAAAATGATAACGATATATTTATCGCAAGAGACACCTGATTAAGTATCAATAGAAGAAAATAATGATAAATATCATGATAGACACATGATCAATATTTGAAAACAATAACGATATATATCGCGATACACACGTGATTAAATATCAATAGAAAACAATAACGATTTATCATCATAGACACGTGATCAATAGTAATAGAAAACTGTAACCATATATATCACGATAAATACTTGATCAGTATCAGTAGAAAATAAATCTGAGTCCAACAGCTCGAGAGGAAACTGTGGATAAGAGGAAAGGTGACGTCACCAGTTTGGAAGCGTTAATCAGCCTTTTACAAATAGGTGAAACTAAAAAATAATCAAGAATTATTGATAACAACTTATGTAAAACACTTATTTTGATACATTTTTCAGTCATTTTCACCCAGATTTAAGCCCCAAAGTGACCTCTTTAAAGACGAGGTGTTCTCTCCTGGGTTTGGCTGCGTTCTGTCTCAGTTTTCAGCTTTTTGACGTTTAGCTTTTGTTTGACCCTTTCCTGAAAATAAAAACTGTTGTTGTGTTGAAATTGATTTGATTTGATTTGATTTATTTATTTAACAGGAAAAGATTACTAAAAATCAAACCTGACTCAGCATAATTGCTGTTTTACAGCAGGTTCCTGTTCTGCAGCACATAAAACACTCAGAATTACAGCATCACAATCACATCATTATACACCATAG